ATTGTAGTAATTACGGAAGATTTTCTGTCATTTATTTATTGAAGAGTTCCGTTGTATTTCACCGAAGATCTTCATTCGAACATCACCAAATTAAAATGGAACCACCTCGAAATACTCGAAGTCATTTATATATGCATTATTAAGGATAACTCAAAAACTACTGGTCAAACATGGATAAAATTTATATGTATCTTGTTGTTGTTCATTTTTAAATCGACAAGCAATAAATATTATAAAATAAAATAAAGAAAATCGGCAGCGGAGAACATCGTGAATGCAATCGAAGCATAGCATAGCAATATATATGCATTATTAAGGATAACTCAAAAACTACTGGTCAAACTTGAATCAAATTTATATGGGACCACACGAGAAGTACCAGCTTTCAAATAAAATAAGAATCATCGAAATCGGAACACATAAAAAAAACATATAGTCGAATTGAGTACCGGTTCCTTTTTGAAGTCGGTAGAAAAATATATTAATAAGTTCAACAATCATTTATCTTTCTGACAATGTGCTTTTTATATCATTTATATGTATAATATGATTGCTAGATACGATTTCATGCGACAAAACGTTGGAATGTTGATTTTTAGGCGCTAGTAGAACATACCTACGCGCTTTGCGCTTACGGCATGCAAAAGGAATACTTAATTGGTTTGGACACCCAGAACGAATGAATGAGGAAAGAGTGACAAAGCAGATTTATGCTGCAGAAGTTAGAAGCAGAGTCGTCAAGAAACGCCCTAGAAGGAAGTTTATTGACTAAATTGGCTATATATTGAAAATGAGCCACATTAAGAGCAGGTGTCGAGGTAGACCGAGACTAACTTTCGAAGACCATGTGAGCAAATTGCTCGAAGAGGGTAGGGTCAAGAGTACTCGGATACCTAGACGTGCATGTATGAAGAAGATAATGAATCTGAAAGAAGCGAAAGAGGTATGGAAGGATCGTGACACTTGGCGATCTGTTCTCTCTGGCTACCCCGTCAGGGATTGTGCGTGAAGATAAGTAAGTATTAAGAGCACACTTAACCAACGACCATGTATGCGTAGGTACATGAATGAGAAAGAAGTGAGAGGGGTGTGTCAGGATCGCACCAAATCATAGAGCAACACGGGCCACCGGCGGCTGAAGTGGAGTAGCCATAGTGTTTTTTCCCGATACAGAATTGTCTGTAATTTTTTGTGGGGGGAAATTTGCGCACATAAAAATAATCGTCTGTCACTACGAAATTTACAAGACGATTTGGAACAGTATCGCTCGGTGACAGCGACAACTCGGATACAGACTCTGATCAGTCGTTCGACCGATCTGGAAATTGTATGAGGGTGAGCGGCCTGTGTGAGTAGACAAATCAGAAACAACATTATCGTTATTATTGTAATTTTTAAGTTTAAATAGAAGTAAATTTGATGTGTGGCAGATCTCTTTTTGCAGCAAGAAAACTGAATAAATCGGCATTTTTGTAGGATTCAGCCGCGCAACTAGTTTTATTATACGCCAGACACGAGTGAGAGTTTTGTTTTAGTTTTCAATTAGCGTTAACAGTTGTGGAAATAATGTATTTTTTTATTATTAATTAATTTTATCTCTTTGGTGGCATTACACCGGAGGCGTGGAGCAGAAGTGCGGTGGTCTAATTCTTCAAGAAAGGTGACAACGCTCTCTTGAAGAACTACAGACCGATTTCCCTTCTGAGCCGCGTCTACGTGCTGTTTTCGAGAGTCATTACGAATCGTCTCGCGCGCAGACTTGACGACTTCCAGCCTCCCGAACAAGCCGGTTTCCGCAAATTGTACAGAAGTCCGAGGAGTACAATTTGCCACTATGTCTGGCGTATGTGGTCTATGAAAAAACCTTTGATTCCGTCGAAATTTGGGTGGTGCTGCAGTTCCTTCAGCGATGCCAAGTTGACTGTCGGTATATCGAAGTGCTGAAGTGCTTGTACAGTAGGTCTACGATGGCTATCCGAGTACAGAACCAGAGTACGAAACCTATCCAATTGCAGAGAGGTGTAAGACAGGGTGACGTGATATCCCCGAAACTCTTCACCCCTGCATTGGAAGACGTTTTCAAGATTCTGGATTGGAAAAGATACGGTATTAACATCAATGGCGAGTACATCACTCACCTTCGATTTGCCGACGATATAGTCCTTATGGCAGAATCGCTGGAGGATCTAAGCACTATGCTCAATGACCTCAATAGTGTTTCCCAACGCATAGGTCTTAAGATGAACATGGACAAAACAAAGATCATGTTTAATGTCCATGTCACACCTATGCCGGTAGTTGTTGGGAGCACTAAGATCAAAGTTGTGGACGAGTATGTTTACCTGGGACAAATAGTCTGACTAGGTAAGTCCAACTTCGACCGAGAGGTCAATCGACGGATTCAACTCGGTTGGGCAGCGTTCGGGAAATTACAGCACATTTTCTTGTCCGGTATACCTCAACACTTGAAAACGAGACTGTACAACTAGTGCGTGTTGCCAGTGATTACCTATGGAACTGAGACGTGGTCCTTCACTGCTGGCTGGATGAGGAAGCTCAACATCGCTCAGCGAGCTATGGAGAGGGCTATGCTCGGAGTTTCTCTGTGTGATAAACTTAGAAATGAGGATATCCGCAGTAGAACCAGAGTAATCGACATAGCCCAACGGATTAGAAAGTTGAAGTGGCAATGGGCCGGCCATATTGCTTGAGGAACCGACAACCGTTGGGGATGAAAGGTTCTCGAGTGGCGGCCTCGTACCGGCGGACGAAGTGTAGGGCGTCCCCCCACTAGATGGAGTGACGACCTGGTAAGATATGCAGGAAGCCGATGGTTGCAGGTGACTCAGGACCGTGCTTTGTGGCATTCCTTGGAGGAGGCCTATGTTCAGCAGTGGACTTCTGAAGGGCTCGAATGATGATGAATTAATTTTATTATTATTAATTAATTTTAGAAACAGTAATTGTAGAAATAAATCGGCAATCTACGAGTAGGTTAATTTTTTTAATTTTAAATTATAGTAGTGTGTATGTGTATATTCCATACAACTGAAAAATATAACCTTCCTTGTATGGCAATCGAGTATTAATTTAAAATAATATCTCTACCTATTATTGCCATCTATAGTTGTATTAGTTAGGTCTTAGTAGTTATGTAATTCAATCATTAGCTCTGGTTTCATCGTAATACAGTATCATTAATTTAAAGTGCAGAATATTGAACGGTTATCTCATTCAACTTTCTCCTCATTAGTTTTGCAAGCTCAAACGAGTACCGAAAGCCTTGTCAATAAAAAATAACAAAGCGCATATGGTTGACTTTAGTCCACAGTTCTTTATCAACTTGATACTAAATTACAATATTGCAAGTTGGATTTTTCTCGTGTGGTCTCTCAGCGCCGAGATTTTTGCATTATTACTTGCTTTGCACCTAGTATCAGTGCCGTAGAAGAGTCGCAAGGGTCCATGACTCAGTGAGGTAGATTTTAGGAGGCGGGATTTTAGGAAAATTCAGACTTAAATTTTAACATTGTATTTGCAATGGTAATCTACCATGGCATATTATTTCTATTATTCTATAACGTCGACCGGTAGAAACCTATGATTCGCCACTGCTAAGTTAGTATTAAATATTCAGATGCAAACAGATAGGTGTTCGCTTTTTAAATTATTTAAAGTCAAAAGAATATATTTCTATACAGCCTAGTATTTGATTTAATTTTAAATATCATACAGGAGCAATATTCTTTACGTGGTAATGCCACGCTGCAAGGATTACGTCAGTACAACTGGATCGGCCCGGGAAGGACTATGCTCGCACAGATTATAAGCGTAGAGAGCATAATAGCGCTGCTGCAAGTGAGTGACGACAACCGGACCCGTTGTGCTTTTAAAACATCATTTCATTTCAAATTCATCTTGGTCCTCAACAATGACGATTTGACCGTGGAAAAAGGGACATCACCCCGCCGGGCAAGGTCTTCAGCCCGGGGAGCGCTTAGTGCTCCGTGTGTTATTTCGAAACTGTTCTTTATATAGCGCGGTAGCTTCGGAACTTTGATAGCGCGATTTAGGCTTTCGTGCTTTTCACTTGTGATGCGACGACAGCGCCAGCACAACGACATATACGCGCTTTGATTCTTAACTAAGGTGTTCATATACATACGCTTACCATCAGGTAGACTGGAAAATCATTTATCACTCTTCTAAAAAAAGGGATCACAATCAGCTTGCGGTCAGTTTCCCATCAAAACTACAGGAACCTCAACTGTTTAAAACAATCCATTAACGCTTTTACTATCATTCATAGATTTCCGTTGTGCGCATATTAATATTAATGTAATAATGTATGTATAACACCGTGTTTGCCTCAACTGTTGTATACTTTTTTTTAAACCCATTATTAACTTTGATTTAAATTATCATAATAAAAATTAAATTAAAATATACTTTTCACGAAAAATAATAAAGTGATAAATATTGTCTATGGCATTTCATAATAAATAAAAAACTTATTATTTTAAATGTCAATACAGTTACACGGAATATATTATATTACGTGAAATTTTTCATTTCTGTATTTACAGTTAATAACAGCGTTGACAATATCCGATTATAAAACAGGTTGATTTAAAGGCACTAATTTTTACAAGTGTACAATAAGTAACAATAATATTTTTCAACAATGACCATTTTTTTTTTCAGAAGTCATGCCACTTTCAACGACTGTCCCAAAAATTTAAAAAAAATTCGAGCTATTTGTACTTTCTTTGTTTAGTTCTTTAGTAAAACGAAACCCTGACTAAACATATCTTTTATGTAGAAATTTAAAACTTTGGAAAATTTATTGCTGAAAATCTATAATTAACATTGTTATTTGTTAAATTGTTTAATGCATATTGTTTTTCTAAATTCGTTATGTTGGTATTGATACCATAAATTAAGTAATTTTAATTGTACTACATAATATGTAAGGATTTGTATTTTTTTAAATTACTTACCAGTGCCGTTGATACCGGATGGTCTGATACGGGCGTCGTACCGGCCCGGGCCTAGGATCTGATCTAGGATCTGTTTCTCCTTCTCCCTGAAGTTTATCTTTGTGTTCATGCATCTGCAAAAATGACAGATTATTTCAGTAGAAGTGAGATGAAGTCACAGTCTATACGTTTCACTGCTAGGCATAGGCTGCCTTTTTTATAGGAGAGGGGGCAATCGAGCATACGGCTCACCTGATGGTAAGTGACTACCGCCGCCCAAGAACAACTGCAACACCAGTGGAATTGCCGGTCAGTTGCCGGGCTTCTAGGAAGGAGTACGCTCTTTTCTTGAAGGTCTCTAACTCGTATCGGTCCGGAAAAATTTGCCTCTCATTTCTGAGAACGTAAAGAAGCAAGTTCTCCACGCTGCTCACCTGTGCTTGCGCAAGAGTAGGTGCACAAGAAGAGGGGCACTCTCTATTCCCTCCTCACACCATAGTCACACCAATTAGATCAACGACACAGGTAATAGCACATTATGGAAGTCTTGCATTTTTATTTATCTCGAAGAAGGAACTAATAAATGCAGTAGAGCAGTTTCTTGAAGTTGGTGAAATTCGCCGGCATGCCATTAAACTGTAGTTTCCTAGGATTTTTGTCATTACTACAAATCGGCGTAGTGGTTTCGCCAGAACCCATACTGAGTTATGACCTTTTTTGGCACGCCTTTGAAGTACAAAGTTTATTAAATTTCACCACAATTAAATAACGAAACATTAATAGATCTTACCTAGGCCAAGCCGAGGCGAGTTAGTAGTAAATAAATAAAATTTAATTTTTAATAAAAAGTCAAGATCAACTTCAAGGAACTGCGAATAATACAAGCTTAAAGGTTAAAACATTAATTTAAAGAAAACTGGCCAAGTGCGTGTCGGGTTACGCGCAATGTGGGTTCCGTAGTTGCCCGTCACAATAAATGGGCTTTCTTGATACTGAGCATAATAAGTGAGTTCGCGGTTTGACCGCTATAACGACTAAAACTGAGCCCAAATAGGAAGATCGTAACTGAAGGACTTATTTTTAAATTAGACTTATAGGGAGTGATATTCAAAAAAGATTAAAAAAACTTCTCAATTTTTAAGATAATATAATTTACATCAAATCATTCACATGCCAAGGTACAAAGATAACCATAGTTGACTATCTATCTATATATTCCCAGCAGTGCAACCCTAAGATATACATATTTGAACGAACCTCCACGTAAACCACCACTGCCTTAAATTATCCTGAGGTCGCCCGCATATACCAAGAGTATGACGAATGAAACTGTGTGAGGCTATATGATTGTATGAATACTTTGAATGATGCCTACAATAACTACGAACTAAAAAATAAGTGAAAGTAGTAAGTAAATAAGAAATATCCTCCCTGTTACCCCTCAAATGAAAAATTAAAGCTATAGTAGTAATGCATATACGATTAAGACGTTTTATTCATAAAAAAATTATTTTCAAAAGCTTACAATAACGTTACAAAGTTATAATGCAACTAGTTTTAGATCATTTTCTATGGAGTTATAACGAAATTTTTACTAATCCAGGTGCATTTTTAAGTTGGTCGACTATTATTCGTTAACTTCTTAATTCTACTTAGCTGTGATAGTTTTCCTTTTAACTTCATTATTATATCCTCAACATTATATATTATCCAACGATACCCCACATGATGGAATAGACGGGTAAAAACATCATCCCCCTGATTTCTTATATTTACGCGAACACTACACTTTTAAATAAAACTAATTTTACGGATTTTATCGCGTATATTAACTTATTTTACATTCCTGACGTTTCGAGCACTTTACAGCACTCATGGGCATGGTCACGGGGGGGACTGAGGTGTATGACGTCCCAATGTCATAGTTAACCACGGCTACCTCCAAATAAAAGTTATTAATTTTCGTTCCGATCTACAAAAACAAAAAAAAAATAATAATTTTTATCTGGAGGTAGCCGTGGTTAACTATTACATTGGGAGTTTTCTAGGAGTTTCAGTTTTCTATAAATATGACTATTATTATATATAATTACAGATATGTAGCTCCTAGGGACGGACGTACATATGGATATGGCGAAAATATAATGGTTCCTTATTGTGTAACTACGGAACCCTAAAAACCCAACTGCGTTATAAAAACCTTCTTGTTTTTTTTTACGGAATAAGGGTGACAAACGAGCACACAGTCCACCTGATGGTAAGTGGTCGCTGTGGCCCATAGACATCTACATTTATCCTCGTTTGCGAATTAAAATGCAGATGCGTTGTCAGCCGTGAGGACTAAGATGGAATGCCTCTTTTCCAGTAAAAAGGGTCTCCGGTTCTCTACACTCACCATACGATACACAGCAGCATCAAGCTGCTATTTTACGCTGGTATTTTGTTAGAGCGTGGTCCTTCCCCGGTCGAGTCGACTATACTACTCGTATTAATATAGCTACAGCATGGCTCTACCACGTATATGTTTGGTCGCTAGTTTTTCAATACGACCGATATAAATATTTTGACAGCACATTACTATAATGACTAAAATTACATTCTAAATATATAGGTGTGCGTCCTAGTGCTTACCTCTCTGGAATTTTCTGCAAAATCACATCGGAATGTTGTGTTTAGCTAAAATTATCACTGCAACTGCACACGTGCATACTTTGGATGCGAACCTCGTAACGTTCGCATACTATCTATTAACTAGCTGTTCCTCGCGACTTCGCCCGCGTGGAATTTACTACGATTTCATGGGTTTTAATTTTTTTCGCGGAACCATAATTATTTTTCCAAAATAAAAGTATCCTTAGTTACTCCTTATAACATCAGCTATCTGCCAGTGTCAAAGTCCCGTCAAAATCGGTCCAGACGTTTCGGAGATCGGCCGAAACAAACAGACAGACATTGTTATAAGTACCGTATATACTTTCATAAACATTTAGTAAAAAACTGTTATTTTGATATTACAAACAGACACTTCAATTTTATTTATTTTATATGTACTTGTATATATAGAGCTGTATAGACATCTTTCAAATCAAATAAATAATATAAGAGCTTAAAAAACTTAAACAACACACATTGGTCAGGAGTTGTTATGGTCACAGTGAGAATATTGGTTAGGTCATAATTATTAAATAACTGTCTTGTCATGGGTCATACGAGTGAAAATTTTCAAGTCAATCGGCCATATGCAAGTTGGTGAAAATTACGTTAAGAGATTTCTTTACATTACATAGAGCCATGCTGCAGCTATATTAGTAGTATAGTTGCAGCACGAATGAGTCGCCTCGACCGTGGAAGGACCACGCTCTCACAGAATACCAGCGTAAAATAGCAGGTCAACGCTGCTGTGTTTCGTATGGGAAGTGTAGAGACCCGGAGACCCTTTTTTACTGGAAACGAGGATTCCAACTTAGTCCTCAGAGGTGACAACTCATCTGCATTTGGATTTTTAATCGAGGATAAATGTAGATGTCTATGGACAACAGTATCCACTTACCATCAGGTGGACTCTTTGCTCGTTTATCACCCTTATTCTATAAAAAAAAAATTGATAGATACAACACGACCAAAACAATTAGTCGCCTGACAGGAGTGCGGTTTGGGCACCTCGTCTCTATCCCCGCGCCTCCCCTAGTGACCAATCACCGTTCCGGTGTTCCCTCCCTGGTTCTAATGACGTCTTATCTGTCATGCGCATCGATATAAATGTACTACGCACTAGATTTCGCATTCCAAACATTGACTATGTTCAACTGAACTTTAATCTGAGCGCACATTTGTCCGCGCCGTACGCGCCGTACGTGCCGTACGCGCCGAATTTTAGAATTCGTTGTATGAAATCATATGAAACCTCGCACATTACACCCGCACAGTATGCGCCGAATTTTATAAAACGCGGTAGGTACACGATATCGAAGGACGAATGCTGATGACGTCATGTAACGCGGCGCGTTTGGCGCGTTTGGCGCGTTTTGATACTCAGTGTTGTCTAATGTTGCCAACTCAGTGGATTTTCCACTATAACTGGTGGTTTTGACTTACATGATAATTTTTGTATTTTTATAACTTTAAATTAATTCGTAATTAATTATACATAATTTGAATTTTTTTGCATCGATTATCAATATGTATTTTAAGCGATAAATTATTTAAATACTGAACTAACAAAAAAAAAATAATTAAATTCAATCCAAAAACCCAATTATACTTACCTACTTTAAACATACAACAAGTCTTTTTTCTGGTTCAATTGGCCTTCTAAATCTTGAGTTCTCCGTAGAAAGATACGGTTTTAGTATATGTAGCAATTTTTGAAATTTCTTGTACGTTAAATGCAAATTATCTAGAAAAAGTCATTCATCATCATCTAATAAGTCTTTAAATAAAGTATATCCCCTTCATATTCTCCTAACAATTGCATTTTTAAATTAATATTATGAATCCAGAATCTTCTTTTTCTTTGAATTTTATTCTATTCTTCCTCTGCCAATTAGGCTATTACTATATTTGACCAGGCTATTACTATATTTTTATTTTCATAGTGATTTCGAGCGATCAATTTCACTGTACCGTTTGACACCAGTGGTTGGAAAAAACTACAAAAGTAGTTGGTAATACAAAAGATTTGCGTACGGCGCGGACGATGCGTACGGGTAAATGTGTGAGGCCATCAGTAAAACTCGGCGCGTACGGCGCGTACGATGCGTACGGTGCGGACAAATGTGCGTTCAGCTGTACTGCAATCCGTACATTAAACTAAATATTGTGTAAATTGAAGATTTGTGAATTCCATAAGATAATTATTATTACAGTTTATTTAGAAATATGTTTGTTTATATTAAAATAAGAGTATTTTAAAATAAATTGTTATATATATTTTATATTAGTATTTTATATTAAATTATTATATTTATTTTATATTAGTATCTTATTTTATATTAGTCTTCGCCAGTGTTCGCGCATACGCAACTCTACTATCTACTCTATGTCTTCGCATGCGCGAGACATAGAGTAGCGCACAATTTTTGTTTGGAATAGCTTCTCTAGTACGTAGTATATATAACTCAATGGTCATGCGCCT